TGACGTTTGGATATTCTCCGTCCGTCCTTCATGGTGCCGGCCAAGTCTTCTTTCAACAAGAGTTATCTGGAACTTTCTGGAATTTTGGTTACGTTCAGTGATGCCTGGCTCAAAGAAGCGACAGAGTGTCTTGGGAGCAAGCAGGAAAGTAAGCAATGCTGAGTTGCTTGTTAATTGTAATGATATGTATTATGCTCAGCATGATGAGTCTGTTGTTCATGTTTCGCCGTTTAGGGATAGTAAGGGTTTAAATTTAACTAAATTTGAACCTCAGTGTTTCGACGGAAACCCAGCTGACTATCCACAGTTTGTAATGGAGTTTGAAATCATGTTGAGTAGTTTTTTATTAAGTGATGAAATGAAGTTGATGTATTTGATGAGTTACTGCACTGGAGTCGCTTCAAGAGCTATACACTGCTGTAAGTTCATGCCCCCTAAAGGAGGATACTCTGAGGCTATGAGTATACTGCGTCAAAGATTCGGACGAACTTCGATGAATGTAAGGAAATTATTCGAGGCTGTTAAGGGTAATGGTGGTCAATTACAAGGTGACTCCAAGGAACTCTCTGAGTTTTTGGATAATCTGATGACTTACAAGAATGCGTTGATTTCGGTGAATTGCATGAGTGATCTGAACTCAAGTTCCGTCCTAGAGGTAATAGTGAGACGTCTACCTACTCGACTGCAAAGGAAGTGGGTGAAGATAAGCTCCCGTATAGAGGATGAAGGTATCGAGCCAAAGTTTGATGATATTCTGAAACTGGTAAAAGATAGCGTCAATGAAGCTATGAGCAAGTTTACCGGTATACTTCATCCCATCCCTAGAATGGAGCAGTGTGAGGGCAAAACGCAATCATTTACGACGAAAGGGTCTCAGAGAAGTGGACATCGAAAAAGCTCTATGGTGTCTAGTAATGCATATAAACTTAATGTGTGTAACAGCTTTCGTGGTACATCCTCAACAGATAGGTTACAAGCTGCAAGACAAACACAGTTGTGTTTTACAGGTTTGCAAGAAGTGCGTGCAAGGGTGAACTGTGAATCAGTGAACAAGTTTATTGGTAAGCTAAATATGAAACCATCAAGGTCTGACTACGAATTGTGTGACGATAATGGTACAGTGAAGAAGCCTGCAGTTGCACCTGGTAAGCCATTGTTGAATAGAGTGTCACAGAAGAGAGTTACAGTCTCAGAGGGCAGTTCTGGCTACACAAGTTTTCAAGGTATTACTAGTCAGAGTGAAGGTATAAAACCTTTAGGGATTTGCGAGGATTAACCAAAATTGTCTACTTCTATTATTAAAGATTTTGAAAATGATGAAATTGGCGGTGAAGTGAATATTTGTGATAATGATCATGATAGTGCACTTTTGTCTTCGGTTGATCATGATGAGATGAGGGGAATGCCTACTATTGCTGAGTTGAACAAAGGTTCTGTACAGCTTGAACGTGAAGTAGAATTAAATGCAGATGCAGTTGCAGAAGTTAGGGATACTTGTGAGACCATCAGTGTAATTGATCAGCGTGTAGTCCACCTATCACCAGATGTTAATGCTAAACTGAAGCTAATAGCAAAAGACAGCAATGGTGGTAATCTTGCAGTTAGACAGCCTTCTCAAGGCCAAACAACAACAGATTCCGATGCACCGCTGAGTTCATCAGCTTGTATCACTCAGTCATCGTTGGTGTTGTCATGCGCAATGACAGAGACGTCTATGAACTCAAGTGTCTTGTGTTATGACTACGCTAGTATCGGTGCATTTGAAAAAACGAAAGATATTGGTCATTTTAATGTGGATAAGCCAACTGTGTATGAGAGGGTAATTGTTAAACTGACTTGCACGAATAAAGGCCTTTCAAGTTTCAAATTACTATCTGAATGTTATTATCTTTGGTGTAAATTACTCTAATTATACGCTTGGTTGGTCAGATACGTCGTATGTTTGTTAGTCATCTATACTCAACGGTGCAATGACATGGGCATCTCACCGTTCAGAGTTGGGGATATAGATGATAGAAGGAGGTCAGCAAATGAACTCAACGACGATTTTCCAACCTAGGGCGTCAACCTGGGAAGGAATGTAGGTGAACTGCTGTGAGTCCTACAATTCTTCAACGGTAGTACATCGAAGCGGAGTCCATCGTACTTGGTGTGTTACTTTGTACATATGTTCATGCTGTATATACTGAATCGGTATCATCTTTCATCTGTCTGTTGGTTTACTTTGTTTGGGTCCGTACGTCTTCCACTTGGGTCGTGAACCTGAGAAGGAATGAGGCGTACCGCTGTAAGTCTCACAGTTCTTCTTGCGTAGTTCGTCAAGGCAGAATCCGCAACATTTCATGTATTTATTGTCAATATGTTTGTGTTAAATAATTGAGTGGGTTTCAATTAATGTAATTATTGGTTAATCTTGATTGTGTCCGGACATTCTTCAACTTACAACCGTCAACGTGAGAAGGGTTTCAGACGTGATGGTGTAAGTCCTGCGATTCTTCACAGGAATTCCATCAAGACATGATCTGCGAGGTTATGTGTACTGTTTGTATATACATGTGGTGTGTCATATCAATTGGTGTTTTCGGATTCACTTTGTTTACTTGTTGTTTTCGTACCTTGTTGCTAGTGCATAATTTTGTCAAATTGTTCGTCGTGCTTACTTCTGAAGTTGTTTCAAGTCTTCTACATTCGTGAATGAATTGATTGATGTTAAAGACAGCAGATGGGTCGTATACGCCGGGGAGGCTAGTGCTGAGAATGACATGCACACGGAGATAAGGATTAGCTGTGGTCCGACACGCCGGGGAGCGACAGTGTAGGCGACTGAGGCTTGTATACGTCACCATTACTAGAACTAAGGCAGAATAAGTGACTAGCGATTACAGTGCTAACTGGTAGTGAGTAGATAAGAGGATGTGCGTGGAGTATCATGAGGTGCTTCTATGGTCACGTTGCGTTCCGTAAGAGTCATTCTAGTAAGTGGCGATCGTGTTGCAAGATGTCAAGTGGATGACTTTGACTGGGAGGCGTAGGTCGTCATTGATGTGTGAGATTGTGCTGTGGGTATGCTTGTGGTGTGTTGGCTTTTCTGTTTGTTTTCCATTTCAGCTTTGTCCTTGTGACCCAGGTTTTTGCACTGGCGTCCAAATCAACGTGTATTGGTCGTGAAGGAATAAAGGGGTGGATCCGTTTTTTGCCGGGGAGTGTCAATGTAGTTGAAGATTGAACAATCAATTCATAGTTGTTTGCTCAAACCCAACTTCCCCATAATTTTCGCCGGTGATCAATCCGCCAGTCATCGTCACATCAATCGCTGTTCAGAGGAAGATAAAATCTGTCAGAAACCCTGTGTAATAACCTTATTGTTGGTTACGCGTTGGCGTAAGAATAAAGGATTCTCGAATCGCCAATCTGTGTTCTGGTTTTTGGCGTTGGTTAATACGAAGTGTTTCTGAAAGTCTTCCAGGTACAGCGTGAGGTCCAACTTAGTAAGAGCTGGACACTGACATTTTATGTTAGTCGGCTAACAAACGGCTTATACCTCATTTTTATAGTGACCGACTAAATCTTCCAGGGATATTTAATAATAACAACCGCCCTATCAATAATTTTGCATTGAATTCTGCGGTGATTTGATGAGAAGTGCTCTGTCGTCGACGCTTTGGATGCGTTTCTATCATCTGCTGGTGGTGGACCAGCATTAGGAGTGGATAAAGCGGTCTGTCACGAAGGCTATTAAAAGTCTTGAGCCTAATAATCGAACTCAACGGATACAAAGTTGCAAAGCCGCCTCTCTAGGAGAAATGAATGGCATAGAGATGGAGACAGACTACACTTTGTATTTTGTCTTAAGATATCAGTGAAACACGAAAGTTTGCGAGATTAGGAGAAAGTTTCAGACAAACTAAGTCAGGGGCTACAAGCCAGTACCTGTTCTGACTCGTGAGTACTTAGACATTGAAGGTGAAAGCTCCTGAGTAATCTGGAGACATCTAAGGCATTTAGGTCGATGCTGTCCCTGATCTTCACATATGAAGCGGATTCGCCTTCAATATTAAGAAATATCCACCAGTGTTTACCAGTACACTAGAAGAAAGAAGGTTCGCATGTGGTGAGAGCAAGCTGCTAGCCAAACTGGTAGACAATTATTGACCTCAATGTTTTTGTCGCAAATATTTGTTTTGAGAAAATATGAACAAGACTGATTCAACACTCAATCACAGTAGACTTGGCGTAGGCAGATACAGTTAACATATAGATGATCTGACATTCAAGAAACAGTCACAAAGAGATGCAAGGTTAACTTTCTGTGAGAAACAACCAATCTGAAAACTGTGTTTGTTTGCTTAAATAGGCCATAATTATGTACATGAAAATATATAAATACGTGTTGATTTCCTAGTAAACGATCTGTTGCCTGGCCCTTGTCTTCTGTTGTTACATGCATACTGAGACAGTGCAGTCTAGGACTACTGGTGATAGACAGATTAGATGCAAGTGTTAGATATGCAAAAAACGCAACCAAAGCGACCAAAGCAATGTAATTCTGACAAAGACATCTAGGACCATTCAGGGGCGACTAGAAGGAGAGCCAAAAGTCACTAGGTTTTTGAAAGCTTGTGAAATATATTTTTTTATCATAACTATATCCATCGCATTGCTTTTATCACTTTTATGCGTTCAGAGGGAAAAAATGAACGCAAGTTTTGGAGGCGCTATGGTCAAATTTGCTGCAAATTTTTAAGACAACCTTTTAAGTATACCATAGGCTCCTGAACCGGACTTACTAAACTTGATAATTTCAAATTCACTGGAAGTAATCAGCTGGAGTCACACTTATCCGCATTGAAGGAAGTAGTGACCAAGTATACCCGGATTTGTGATATATGTATGTCTGATATATATAAACACCCAGCTTAGGTTATAGGACCATTTATTCTGAGTCACGGAACGTATAAGTCAGAATCACGAAGTATATGGCTAAATTATGACAGAAATTCATGGAAAGTTCTGATTTTTTCATTTGCAGTGAACTTTGGTCAAACTTTCGAAAAACTCTAAATCTTGAACATTTAAATAAAGTTGTTACTTTTGCTGGGCTTGGTTGTAGCACTTTTAAATGGTCAACCTGTTATCGTGAAGTTAGTCCTGACTTATAAAAATGTTTGCACTTGTATTTCTAGATAGAACAAATTCAGACTTTGAAAGCCTGCATTGTATTTTTGTCATATTTTAGAAATGTACACGTGCTGTTCCTATATGGCAATATCCTAGCTCGCATTTTGTTCAGGCGCATTGCAGACTTTTTGGGGCAGACTTCGGGACACTGTCCCACGTAAGTAGATCTACCCGAAGGTTTTGCCCCAAAAAGTCTGCAATGCGCCCGAAAAAATGCTAGCTGGGGTATAACAAATCTGAATATAGTCAGATTTTAGTATTATTTAGTTGTAGAAGTATGCTTATGTTCTTGATACGACGTATGGTAGAGGTCATATTAACACATATGGGTGCGGAATACCTACAAAAGTTAGACAGTAATTCAGCCATATAACACTAAGAGTAAATCTAATCGATCTATCCAACCTCTCCGTATAAAAGCGGTTACAGAATCTCTTTACCAGTTTATTTCTCAGCCCTTGAACTCTCTTTGATACTCCTTTTTCGTATTTGTAACACTTGTAACATTTTATGTTACCATGAACTGCATATATGCATTGACATTCGGAGCACTGCCGAATCTTTGGGGCAGACTGCAGATCACTGCTGCACGTTCTGCGATGCCCCGAATATTTTCCACTGACGATTCGACAATACGTCCAAAGAAAATGCTAGATGGGATAAATAAAAAGCACACCTTCTTCCACGGACAACATGAAACTGGTTTTGTCCACTTACGGGTATGTCAACGGTGATGAATCTGACACAGTGTATCCTTGATAAACAGATAAAGAACTGTATGAAAGCGGGAAATTTACCTTTTGCATGCTAAAGATTACTAAATTTGGCGGCAGTAGTAAAGAATAGACACCAAAATCAGATAATTTGGAATCAACCTCTGAGACAACTATGCATAACACATGAATGGTGTTCAAATATACAGAGTGTATGATGAATGTTTCTAAAAGAATTAAAGCAGAAGAAAGTGTTTACCTATTTGAAAGTGTAAGTGATGGTCGTTCGATCGTGGATTCTTCAGCTGAATTTCGGTCTGGTTTTCTTTTATTCCGCTATGTCACTATTACACAGCTACTTCGAATTCCCTGTTAACTTTAATGAACTGAAAATATTTCACGGGTAAATTATAGCTAACGGTGCTCAGAAAAAGATGCTGCAGTAAAGTAGTGGCAACAGTAAAGAATAGACACCAATGTCAAACGACCTTGAACCAACCAGCCAGATCGCCCAGCATTACAAATGGATGCTTTTCTTAATCTTCGTTGCAAGTTTGATCATGGTTCAGGGTTAAGATTAATGCAACTTTAGAGTAGGGTTATTATTAAGGTTAAGGTAGAATATGCAACGAAGATTATGAAAAGCATCATTCGTATTGTGTAGCGACCTGATTAGTTGGTTAAGATCATTTGACCTTGGTTTCTATTCCTTACTTAATCATCAGATAAGCATTCGGACAAAGCCGACCATTTAAAAACGACATAATGTCGTCTGGATTTCAAAGTTTCACATAAAGACGTGGAGTATTCTTTTGCTTCATAATGAATTGTATCTTTAATAGATGTTAGCTACATTATTATGATATGACTTATCCCACGTTTCCCCAGTGGGATATAGGGCTTCACCGGCATACCCACACTGTACTCAAGTCTCTGTCATCACTTACAGCTAGCTGCATGACCAGCTCCCGAAGACTCTATTTTTTCTTCATATGATCTTCTTAATGCCAACTCCCAGTGGATTCCTCATGAGGTTCCACCCAGAGGCTTGGCGTACTGTATCACTTGAAAGACTCTCCCGCAAATATCCGACTAATATCTACTTACCGAAACATTTTGGCTGATTGCCGTCTGCTAGAGATCAATGCTGCCCATCCTTTTCAACAGTACATGTGATTATCACTATCGAGCTAGTGAAGCTATGTGTTGATGAAACCCTCAGCCTATTGAAAATGACGCACCATGTGTCTGAACCATATAGAAGCACTTCCCTGATATTACTGTTAAAAATCTGGATTTCTTTCTTTGTGCTGAAAGCATAATGATGTCAATAGGCCATTGGATCGAGTCCCAAAGGCTGACTTGTCTGCGAGCTAGTCTTTTAACCGCAAGGTCCTGGGTCAAACCCCAGTGGATGCGTACTGCTGAGGGTTCCCAACCACTAAGAAACAGCTGCCCAGGACTCCCATGTTTTCCACTGGTTCTCTAACTTATGTCGGCTCGTAATCAAACCAGTAACCAATCAAATGCCTGAGAACCAACACTTGATACTGCAGATCTGTCTTGTTTTCTTTATCAGGTCCTGAGTACCTCTGACATCTGTGCCACCTCTAGTTGAAATAATGATGCCGTGATGAATGAAAAATGTGACTTCCTTCAAAATTATACCATAGTTAGTGATTGATGTTTGTCATTTTTTGTTCAATACTTTCATTATCTCTGTCTTCTTCATTATCACCTGAATTCCTGTTTTGGCTGCCTCTTCTGACAAACTCTTGATTTTCGATTTTGTTTTCCGATTCGTAACATAAATCATCATCTGAATCTTGGTCTTCTTGGGTCTTTCTGTCGGTTCAAAGTATATCCATCCTCCCAAACCCCATGGTTTGCAGTATTAGTCTGATTATATCCATATCTGCCTACTTTAAAACTCCTGAAAGTATTGTGAGTTATCATCTAACTACTTTGAGTAGTATGAATGATGTTGTAAGAAATACACCTAGCTGATGAAGTCATTACTTCATATTTTTGGTGTCATTTCAATTGGGTATTTTTAAAAAATGCAAAAAATTTCTATCCATACCTTCTGATATGAGATTCGGGACACCAGTGCATACTGGTAAATACTAAGCCAAATGATTTCACTCAGTTTTATTTTATGTGACATTTCTTCTCTGTACTATTTTGAGCGGATGGACGAGTACTTTTCAGGGTAGCACTCAGTCAGTCGTTCATTGCCATTAAAAATAGAAAGTTGTAGAAGAGATTTTTTATCTGGTAGGGAAGTATTCATTCTTCCCTATTCTTTTTTCTTGAATAACACTTCAACGAATTTTCTTACACCTAATTTTATATCAGTTGTCTTCAATTGGTAATTCAGAATAATAGGGTATTATTATGAAATGGATAACCTTTATGGAGCACAGTTTTACCACTCTTTCCTAATCGCGTCAGTGTATTTTAATAGGTTTTTAACCCAGATCTTGATTTTTAAACAGGCTGCCTTTTTAGTATTTCTGGATACAAAAAGTGTTGATTCTACAAACAAAGATCTTATATTCGTGAATAAATAAAAACAGATTATGTAGTTCAGCAAAGAGTCTGTTTTCGGTGGATTCAGTTTCTTTAGCTGTACAATCACATTTGTAGTAGCACAAGTGGTTGGATAATTTTCTTTTGTATGCGTCGTTCTGATTTCTCTACATCAATGGCTGAAGCTTCAGCAATGCAAAGGAGGCGAAGGTATATTGCTTTTAGCAGGCTGTCCTTCACTTTGTAGACCACTCAGTGGAAGGCATTTGTTGAAATGGAATGGCCAAGGTCAACAAGGTATTTGCTTATTTCGCTCCTTACAGAGCCATTGCTGCCTTTCTGCCAACAATTTGGATAGTGTTCTTGAGGTATGTTGGATACAGCACGCGTCAAACTTCCAATGCGAACCTGGATTTCAAGGGAGACTTAACCTACTATATCGTTGGAAGGATATTCCTCGTATCAACGTTAAGAGCAGCCTTCTGTTGTCGACCTTTGGTCTGTGGAAGCCTTATGACAAAATATCTCATCTCAACAGTCCTATGTGTATAATATCAGTTCACTTGAGCATGTGAAGCCAGGTAGTATATTGGTTGTTCGACGCGTATCTTGTCTAAAAGGACTGGCGAATACTATCAGTCATGGCTGCAAAAAAGGTAGTAGTGGCTCTATAGGGAGTGAGATATTGAACACCTTGTGAACACTGGTCATTTCACCTCAACAAACGCCTCCTTTAAAGTATTCTACGAAGTTAAGTCGATACGCTTTCATCTCTTTGTGCATTGCTGAAGCTTTAGCCACTCAGATGGAGAAACCGGAGCTATGAATAGGAAAAAACTATTCAACTATTCCTACTATCATGGTAATAACCCAGCTGGTCTCCACTAACTTGATTTTGTTTGTTTCCTAACTCTTTACAGCTCTCATAGTTTTTAGGAACTCTTACGTAATTCCATGTTTTCCTTCGTTTCTATGTGCATCATGATTACAACTCATCCGTTAAAATTATTCATCTTGTTACGTAACCCTAATGCACTTGTTCTATTCCTCCTAAGCACTGATTAATATTGACAACTATGATCATAACAACTCTCACTTTTGTTACTACCCTCCTTCATGAAGAAAAAAGTTTGTATATAAATTCGACTGTACATCTAAGAGTAAAATGAGTTCCCCGAAAAGAGCCTCTTTACTGAACTACGTGTTTCGCTGTTTTCGTTAGAGATCTGATAGTTTTACTGGCATAGGATTTTAAAGAAAACTTCCCTGCTCCAAGATGTAAAGGGATACTAACCAAGAAAACTCTAAGATTCAGATGGATAAAGTTATGTAGAAAAAAAGATCATCCTATTGGTTATTTAATTCAATCTTAGACTTTCCCTGTCGACTGACTGGATCGAAGTGTCAGTTCCTTGAGCAGATGCTTAGACGATATCTAGTCATGCAACTGGTGAATGGTGACTTCATCCTATTGATTGTTTGATTCAATGTTTATCTGTTTTTTATTTTGTTTGTGTTTTAGATTCTCAATAAACATACCAAAAAAAGAGAAAGATATCAAGCCAGTGAATGAATGAATCACTCATCAGCTGAACAATAAAAGGTTTTATTGAAAACAGAAACTAGACGTTTATTATTCAACTGACTCACAAAAGGTACTTAAATTTCACATATTACGTAGTATAGGCACTTACAGACATTTTGGTTAATATAAATGAGTTTTTTTTAATGTACTTAGAGCAACACAAGAATGTAGATAGTTCTTGTTTCAAGTCAATATATATTTATATATGTCATTAATTTAAACAAAGAAAGAACGAATGTATTTGCAGACGATATGAGATCATTTTATTTCGTAGATTCTCTTCAACTGCGTAAATCTTAAATAAGTCAATTATTTGTTAAAAAATGGTGTGTGTACATAATTTTGCAATGATTTAAGGCTATAGGTGGAAAATATCAGCAGGATTATTTCAGAGACGATTTAAGTAGAAAATTATTTAGTGTTAAAAGAGTAACAGGACTCCAAGTGAACATAGACAAGACGGAGGTTATGAAAATAACCAACCTACCAACAACAACAACAGCAGCAACATCCAACGCCAATCACCATCAACGGGAGGGATTTAAAAGAAGTTACTTCATTCACTTATCATCTAGGGAGCATTGTCTCAACTACACGCAGTCGGAACGGACGAGGATGTCAAATCGAGCGAGAGTCGCGAAGGCGAGAAACACATTCATCAACCTGGAAATCTTCGTCACTCAGCATCAACAACAAAATTCGGTCGGATTTTCAATACAAACGTGGTCAAGTCAGTCAGTTCTTCTATACGGATCAGAAACTTGGCGGGTCACAAAGAATATTTCCAACAGCCTGTTGCAGACCTTTATCAACCAACAACTGTCTTCGCTGGCTCTATACTGAAGATCAGATGGCCGGGTGGCCGGAAAGAATCACCAACAAGGAACTATGGGAACTAACAAACAAAACAAGAACCAATCAATCGCCACCCAACAAATATGCAGGAGAAAGTGGAGATGGATTTGATACTCGCTGAGGAGACCGCTGGGTGACATCGCACGCGCCTCAGGTCATTGCTCGAGTGGAACCAGGCCGAAAGGGAAGCGGCGAGTGGGACGTAAGTGCAAAGGTGACATGGAGGAGATCGTGTGAAGAGGAGTTGAAACAGTATGGACTAACTAACATGGATGCAGGTGAAAAGTACAGCAGAGGGAAGACAGAAGCAAGTGAGACGTGCGGTTGAAGCCCTATTTTCCACTAGGAACCCAAGGGAACAATAATAAATAATAATAAAAGAGTAACAACTTATGGCATAATTAGACAAGGGATACAGTTAAGATTTTGTTTGGAAATAAAAGTGGACTAGGGAATAAATAAAAGAGAGAAAAACAGAGTGGATTAATGCATATTACGGGGAGAGTTTAGGAGGGTTGGCGTGAATAGTAAAGTAAAATTATAGATAAAATAATTTAATTTAGTAGATTTGGAACAATAATAGTAAGTTGAACTCAGCTAGTGAAATTCAAAATCAAGATTGAGTGGAATGTGGGACAAAAGCACACAAACAAAACAATTATGGTTACCAGGGTAGTGAGAGGTTATTCACACTCTCTTTCTGTATGCCTAAGTTGTGTCGAAATCTTTTGATGACAATGGCTTCTGCGAACCGAAATAACCATGCTTTTCTTTGTGCACCGATTATTTTGAAAGCCTGGCCACTTTTTACTGTATGCCCTTTGTCAATTAGGAATCTGGCGATCGCGCTTGGCAACACTTTGCTGCCTTTCAAACAGAGATTTTAGGATATGCTCAGAGGACCTAGTTGACACTTTCTCCAACCCCTTCCTATGCACTTGCTGCCACAAGTGCAGGTCAATTGGTAAATGCACTTGGAGGTGACATGCAGAACAGGATACTTATTTACTTTTGACTGAGCTAACAAGCATACGGTGTTGTAATGTGGAATGAGTTTAGCGGTGGGAAATATTCTTTTCAATGCAACTTTAATTTTGATTTCCATTCTTATGGATACTTCTCGCTTTTGTACGCTATACAGATAGAAGAAATCAGTAAATGAAAATGAGGTTTTTTGATGTACTTAGAGCAACATAAGTAATCCAGACAGTTTTTATTTCAAGTTAACATGTATGTATATATTTCACACAACGGGTTCTCTTCTTTAATTTGAACAGAGAAAGAACGAACCTATTTGCAGGACAATACGAATTCGTTTTTTTCGTAGATTTTCTTCTCCTAGACAAAGTTTGATTTCTTAACGTACTTTTTTCTCACAGTGACTTAGACTTATAGATAGAAAGTAGGGGGGATTTTCATGATGAGCAGAAGATAGAATTCAAAAACCATTGGATCGAGTCCCAGTGGCTCAGTTGTCTACGAGCTAGCTCACCTTGTAACCAGAAGGTCCTGGGTGCGTACTGATGAAGAGACCCAAACTAGGACGGAGGAAACAGCTGACAGTTCAGTGCTCCCAGCTAGTTTTCCAGTGGTTCTCTAACTGATATCAGCTCATCATGAAATCCTCCATACAATCAAAGAAAGTATATGCTCAACATAATTCGTAAAATGATGTAAGCAGACGAATCATTCAGTGTTAAGAGACTAACTGTTTATGGTATAATTAGACAAGAGGGGGTTAAAGTTCAGATGTGTCTACGAAACACGGGTTGACTAGAGACAAAATACAAGAGTGAACACGTGAATGAATTTATACATATTCTGATGGAATGTTTGAGAGGTTGCGAGAAAATAATAAAGTAAAACTATGACATAGAGAAAACAATTAAGTAGATTTAAAAAAAAACCTAGTTATGAATCCAACTCAGTAAGTGAAAATGAAAATAAAAATTCATAGGAATATTAAACAACAGAATGAAACTCTACTCCACTTGTTTAATTATGCTAATTGTGCTTGCACTAGCAAGTACAAAAACTCAACCATATCCTACTTAGCTCGTGTTCTGTGCGACAAACAAGAAAGCATTAGGCGTGATACCTATAACTTATTAGGCAGTCAGTTGAACAACTGGATCTCGTCTTTCCAACTCATATCATTTATAGGTACAACGTTTTCTTTCTTTTAGATATCATAGAGAAGATTTGTAGCTCATGTGGATGATTTTGATGTGGTTTTGTTCTCTGAGCTGGATGGTTAGTTTGCGAAGCTTTCATCACCTTACTGGGTGACATCTTCAGCGCATACTTCAATTTGAAGTGAGCTTTTAGATTTCTCCACGAGTTTATTAATCATCTCTCCTGGTGACCTTGGACGTGATTGGTTGTTTGTGTGTGTTTTCACACCTTCTAGGTTACCTGTATTGGAACCGGTTGTTTCTTTGACTTGAACTTTGACCCTTTGTGTGAAGTTTCTTTCTTATTGGTTGATAAATTTTGTCTATGTCGATGTGTCTATTGATTGATGATCCACTGGAATGCCAAGCTTCTTTCTTTCTTTTTCTTTCCTCTCTCTTTTTTCTCTCTGTTTTGTGTAGCTTTGTTTCTTTCTTCCTTGCAAACTCTATTTAAAGCATTCTTCTTCGTTCTTTCACACTCTGTATATAGTGACCTTTTGTTACCACTTACGCCAGTAAATATGCTAGAACCTACTTTTCTAACACCTTCAAACACTGTTCAATTTTAGCTTTGCTACCGACATGTCAATATGTTGTTGTCAAAACTAACTGAGATTACCCTTAATCTATGTAGAATTTTATTTTATTGTTAATTTACTAACTGGATGCAATACTGTAGTGAAATGGTGAGAATTCCATTCTGTATCACAAGTACTCTTTTGGAATAAAGCAAATTATTATTATCATTATTAAAAAATAGTCAATCATTTAACACTGAGGAATTCGTCTACTTTCATCATTTCTGAAATTATGTTGTCTAAAGTTTCTACCTATAACTCAAAGTCATTGTGAGACAGAGTATGTTATGCAATTTTGCAGCTTATATTGTGATTTTGTTTAGGATTTACGCAGCTGAAGAGGACCCGCAAAATAAAAACAGCTCAAATTATCCTGCAAATACGTTCTTTCTTTAATTCAGTCTTAGATTTCCCCTTTGACTGATTGGACCGAAGTGCTCGGTCTCAGGCTGACATATCAGCTTCTTGTGCAGATGCTTCGACGATGTCAAGCCGGTCCAGTCAATCGACGCAGAAATCTAAAATTGAATTAAATAATTAATATGACCCATTGCACAAGAGGTGGCTCTGTTGTGGAGCAGGTGGTCTAGTGGATGACGCTTTGGTGTTTGAAACTATGGGCACTGGGTTCAAGTCTCGATGGGAAAATCATCACTCACTGCTGGTGCAGGTATATCCAGTGACGAGTCCCAAATAGGGTGAAAAGCGCGTTATCCTGGATTCCACTGCTAGTCACCATCCACCAATTATATTTTTCCTTGTTCAAACATATATATATATATATATATATATATATATATATACAAAAAAGCCGTTAAACTGTACTGACAAAATGCATTTTCTGTTACGTAACAGAATTTCGAAACAATGACCGTGTTTTATGCATGCAAATTAAATAAACAATACACTTTAGGAAGTAGTTTTACTTTGGTTGATTACATTTTCAACAGTAAATATACCATGTTTTGATATCACTGTCAGTCAATTTATTCTAAATATAACAAATGTCTTTTTGAGAAATAAGTAGTGGACATATTAAAAAGACGGTTGCAGTAAAGAAAATGTTCTTTTCAACGAATTTTTTATCAATTAGGTAGCTGTACATTCATGTATGTGTAGTAATTTTTAGATGAGAAAGATTCCAGAACTATTTTCAGTCAAGAGACAAATTTAGTAGGAATGCAGATAAACACAAAAATGTGATGATAACAAAATAAACCGGAAGATTAGATAAAAACAGTAGTGAGAATAGGGATTAAAAAAAGTAAAAATAACAGAAATGAACAAGAAGTTCAGATGAGGTAGGTAATAGGCTGGCTAATCAACAATGACATAATTCTTGTTTGTCCCTTGCTTAACCATGCTGGATGATG